CATACGGAGTATCTAATTGATATAACGAATACAAATGCAAAACTAAAAAAATTACATCAAGAACAAGTAAAGTTACATGCTTTTAAAAAGTTTGGGATATACACCAGGCCGACCCTGACCATGTGCTCCAAGTGCAATGGCATAGACCCCAATAAAAATAAAGGCCCAAAAATAATGAGTAATATGGAGTATTATGTACTCAGTAGTATACATAGCTCAAAGCAATTTTGCCAATAAAAGGGCATCAAATGGTTAGATGTTCTAGTTGATTTCACAAATTTATATTATTGGACTATTAGGTTGTTAAATTTGTAATTGTTTTACTATTATACTTTTACGTGGAAACCCGAAAGGGAGAAAACCACGGGACTTTTTAGGCTAATGTCCAAGCCCTCTCTTTCTCATTAGGACTCTCCTCACCATTACATAGTACAATATTCAAGCTCCTATTAATGGAGGATCAAGCTAATCTAGAGAAGAAGAAGCATGAAGAAGGAGGAAAAAGGGGATCCTTCATAAGGAGGGAAATCCTCCTATCTATCTATATATAAAAACAGAAAAGTGGGGAGGGAATTTGGGCGGGAAAAACGTGACTTGCACGTGAGAGTAAATATGAAAACCTATGAATGCAAAAAAAAAATTGAATAAAAATTTAATAATGAAGTTGGCCCTTGAACTTTTCAAAAAGGAACAAAGCAATAAATACTCAAGAGGACAAAGCCTTTAATACGGAGTATTCAGATTAATGATTGAAATAATTTGTATCACATTAGTCGATGCATAAAATTAAATTACTATCCCAATGAAGTACACTCTTTATTACAAATTACAAATTAAAATTAGTTTACACACCTGGGAAATCATAAAATAAGAAAATGAAGTATGCACATGCTGACATGCAACGATGTGGCTTTTTACATTCTAATGGAAAAATCTAGAATTTTCGCTCCTATAAATTAGGGACCATTGGGGATGAATTTCAACACACAGGACGGCAAACTCATATCCGAACATCTAATATCTGCAGTGACTTTCAAACATAAACACCAAACTCTCGAGTAAAATCATCATGCTCAACAATTTGCGTCTGCTTTCATCAAGTAATCTAAAAAAACATTGCCCCTGCAAAATGAACAAGTATTCATGTATGAGGCATCAGGTAAAAGCCATTGTTACTTTAAGACGAAAAACATTGTATCCTTGCACATTTATTGAAATCATTTCTTTGATCATTCATGTGTTGCTTATCTCAAGATGTCTGCCAAGAAAAAGCAGAGATTAGCACGTCAAAAGTTTAGCATGTCACAGAGTGTATGCTGAAAATGCAATGTTATGTGGTTTTCGAATTTCAACTTTGGATTTTGTTTTTTTGGTGTTCAGTTGACTGGTCATAGTTAGAAGATGTGATCTAATATAAAAGAGATTAGCGTTGAAGCACTACATGGAAGATGACAGTGGACTCATCAGCCTTTATTTGACAGTAGAACATGAACGGCATCCATACCCTTTTATTACCAAGTTACTCCGTATATTTTTAAGTATTACAGTGGTTGTATAGTCAACTTCTAACCTATTCATAAAGGTATGAAAGGCCACATTAAAAATTGCAGTGCTCCATGAGGTTCACGAAACATCTATTCATCGTATAAACTAAAATTTACATTAATGATAAATATTTCTGTGTATTATTCAAGAAAATTGTTCAAATTATAGATAGATCTTGATTTGAATATTTCAAGTACTTAAAAATAAGCTAATATGATTAACTTCAAATGAGATCTGAAAAAATGAATTCTTCTTGAAGGGAATTCTTATAATTTGGGGGAACGTTTATGGTGTTACGTGTCAAAGTTGTTGAAAATATAAGGCTCATTTATCAAACATTCTAAAGATGTTACAGATTTATCTATTGACATAGAAGCATGATGATATATTCAATAAAACTACATTATAAAACTAAAAAAATATAAGAACAACCATTAGGGTATATTGCTCACAACTATGGTATGATTTGCCGAATCTTCTTGAAGGAAACCTAGAATGGTGATGATATGCTTTAATTTTATGTATTTTTTTATATATTACATATGACCAATTATTTGTTTTTAATTTATGCAGGAATTTAGATTCAGTGAAAAGGCTAAGCATCTTCTTTTGAAGTGGGGGTCATCCATATACCTGCAATTACTTAATCAAATACATGTTGTCAACACTCATCTTAAAATGATAAAATATTACCTAATCTGTTAGAAAATTGTCATTTGAAGGCATGAGGCATCAAAGTTTGGCTTAAACAAATTTTCATGTTCATGTAAGTTGTCGATTTTCAAGTCTAAAATGCAAGTCGATTTAGATAAAGTACTTTTCTTTTACATGTTTGATAAAAAAGAGTACCATATGTGAATGTGTTGGAAACTGAAGTTTTAAACAGAATACAATGCCCGTGAATAGGCAACGAGCCGTTTGTTAAGGATATTGTAAAAAGGTCTATATTAACAAATCCTAACTGAACAGAAATTGATTTTAGTTGTGATTGTGTGTCCAAAATAAAACTGAAGTAGCATATTTAGAATCCATAATCGTTGGTTGACATTAAAACTGTCCAAAATGAAATAACAATTAAAGAAAAAAATGTAATTCATACCTTTTATTATTATTCATTCAAGTTTTACTTTGATTATATTGAAATATTCAAGACAAACTGCTACTATTGATTTTTCCCCACCATTCAAGATTAAATTGGGAGTGATAGAAGCGTATGAATTGAACAACTCAAATGAAAAGCAACACCTACCATGCAAAAATTGACCTTTCTTTGAGAAAACGAAAAATCTTTTCAAATTCCAATACAGTTATATTCTTTGTTAGGAATATTCATGTAAATCTTCGTTTTTATCAAAACAATATCTTCATACAGCTCCAATGAACTAATTTGCGAAGTGAATTTAAACCTTACTTAAAATATATAATGTATAAACAAATTCTCAGAGTATGAAATGAATCAATTAATGAATTAATCGCTTAATGTGAAGGACTGGTGGAATACCGGAACTACCGACTACGGAAGGCGGAAGGTTAAAACTTAGAAGGGCCGATTGGCCGAACCTCGGAATGGTGAGGGGCGGACTGCAGGGACTTGGGATGGAAACCACTGACAAGGCTTGCTGCGGTGCTGGCGCCTGGTGGAGTGGCGGTGCTGTTGTGTTGCGTGTTGGCGCAAGCTGGAGGGCGGAGCCGGCGACTTGGCTGGGCATTCGACACTTCGACCGATCGTGGATGACAGATGCCTGGGTGTGGAAGAGTTGTACGAGAGATGTTAACTTTGGGCCTTTGGCCAGTTGAGCCCGACAAACCTAATTAGGCTGAAAACCGGCTTTATGTGTTTTGGACCTGCGGACCAGTCCTCTGAGCCCATATTCATTAGTTTTATTTCCTACATTGGAGTTTTAATGAGTCCTGACAAATATGAGTTGTTTGTTTGTTGTATTCATGTAAAAGAATGTGTTCTGCAAAAAAAGAACTGTTTGTGCAGGTATAAAGAAGAGAATAGTTGGATATATGAGTGTTTCTTTTTCCTTTTTAGACCTAAAAATGTGCAAGGCCTTCAGACTTTATACTAGAGTTCGACTGCAACAAGGTTTTCAAATTATTGATTTACTATATAGCTTAATATTGTAAAAAATGATTCTATAACCTTTTATGGTTTTCTAAATCTTTTTTATAATTTCAAATTTATAGTAAGGTTTAACATGATTCTAACTATATTAAAGTAAAATAATTACTTTTAAATAATATGCATGGGTATATAGTAAAATGTAGAACAAATATCTGTCATATCAAATAAATAAATCATTTCAAATAATAAAAAACCAAAAACATGTAGAACAAATATCTATCATATCAAATAAATAAATCATTTCAGTTAACAACGTGTTTAGTAAAATTTTAATAAAACAATAGATTTTCTATTAAAAACACAAGGCAAAATGATTTGATTTTTGTGAAATAAGCATATTATTATATCCTTTTTATAGAACTACAATAAATATGTAAAAACTACATTTTCCTAGACATGGACCGGTTCCGGGCCTAGGACCGGGGTGTTAAGGCGGGGCGGTTCCGGACTGCACTTCCTTTGGAACTGGCCCTGCCGGGCCGGGCTGGTCCCAATCCGGGCCTATAATTTTTTTTCTTTTTTTGTTGTAGGTGGGTTGGGCTGGATGTTTTTGGGGGTAAGGGGGGGGGGGGGTAGGGGTTAATTATAAAATCAAAATAAATAAATAAATAAATAAATACATAAATAAATAAATAAATAAATAAATAAATAAATAAATAAATAAACCGGCCTGAAGCCCGGCCCGGACCGAAACCGGTCCATGCCTACATTTTTCCGTGCATCGCACGGGTACTATACTAGTTTATAGATAAAGGGGGAAAGGGGGCTCTCCACCCTAACGGGCCGGATGGGCCAAAATGGGCCCAAAGGCCGAAACAGGCCTGATAGGCTAAAATGGGCCTTATTGGCTGGGCTCCGTACTACGTAAAGTCTTGGGCTCCTGAACAGTAATAGGCCGGGATAATATATCCCAACAACTATTATACTATTATAAGTAAATAATTTTGTTTTTTGAGTGTGTAATTATTAGTTACTACTTAATAACTTGTTTTTGAACATATTTTTTTATAGTTAATTAATATTTTCATTTTATCAGGTTGATTGATAGTGGATCTAATTTATTAGAAGAAAAAAAGGCCTAATTTTTTCTCTTGCGCAGGGCCTCCTTTTTTATAGGGCCGGTCCTGACCACATTTATATCATTATTATTTTTTATCTTTTGATGCGTGAGAAATCAATATATGATTGATCATGAATTTTTATTCGATGTGAAAAAGCGTTTCAATTTTTTATTGATTATCAGTTTATCACTACATGAACAATTTGGAATTATTTTTATACGAAATTTCAATGCCTATTTATCCGTATGAATATTTTTAGAAGTGAAATTTATTGGACCAGGCCCAATTGTTGTACAATAAGAGTCTGGATTCTCCCTTTCTAAACCTACTACAGCCTCTGCGTGGAAACTCCAGCTACATCTTCGGCCGCCACTCCGTCATCCTTGTCCGCGACGCCTCCGTCCGCAACTCTCACTCAGTTTCTTTTGTAAGGCATTTAGCACTTATTTTTGGTTATATTCATGGTTATTTCAGTAACTGTTTATATTATATTTAGTATTTCAGTGTAACCACAGTCCTCTCCTTCGTCATCTGATGTTCCCACCAAGCAGCGATTATGGGTTTTTCATTTGATTTAGATTTTTCACTTAGGGGCTATGCATTTTTGTTTTTATGTTTTCCCTGCCCCAACTTTGATGGGAAACTTCAGCTTGGGGCACAAATGCACTGGACCTTAGTTAACCCCAAGCCTCTAGCTAATCAATTTTTAAATAGAATATTTTTCGAAAAAAATGGACATTTTTTCTAGATAATTTATGGAAATTTGGGCTACATATTTCAAAAAATGGTCCAACCGTTCTTCAGCCTGATATAGATGGGTGGTGTCTGTTTCTATCCAGAAATAGAATTGAGGGACTTAGCCTCTGTATTTATGCTCCTGATCTTAATACGGAGTTTCAGGTGCCAGTATGTATAGTTTCCTGCCCTACCGTTAAGAAACTCCGACTTGGGAATGCGTTTATTGATTTCCCTGTTAATGCTCCACCTGGTAGCATATTTCCTGCTGTTAAATCCCCAATTTTAAAATGGATTGATTTTGAGCCCTATGCTAATGGGATTATGTATACCATTCCTAACCTTGAGGAGGTGCTCTTAAATTTTTGTAATGGGAATGATTGTGTAATGAAAGTTCCAAAACTGAAAAGCTTGACTGTTATTTACCCTCTTATGGAAGTGCAGACTCTTCGGTTGTCTGCACAATATTTTTTATTAACTCAGTGTGCATTACCGATTTATGTGATTCTATTCATCTACCTCATTCAGTACCTTCTCTATTAAATTTCATTACTAAAATATATCATTATATTTGTATTGTAATATTATCTAATGTGTTTTTATCTCTAAACTATATTGAAGCGGGAGGAGTTTTTATCTCTAAACTATATTGACGCGGGAGGAGTTGTCACTTTCTGTTTGTTGTAATCTTTAAAATTTTGCAATTCGTGTTTTATGTTTAACCACTTATCCAATCTAAAAATGTTAGTCGTCTGTTGTAAGTTGTAAGTAACCCCCCACATCACAAAACTGTCCGATAACAGGTCCACAAAATTAGGCAATAACTAATATAGTAATGCATGTCTGTTAGGCATTCACTGAAATTGTAACTTCTCTCTTCTCATGTCTACTTCTTTATTTTTAAATTCTTTTTTTATTTGTTTTGAATCAACTCAATTGTTTTATTCACAGATGTGTTTAAGTAGATTTGTGTTGTGACGATTCTCCTTTATGAAACTTGAACAGAGGACAAGAGACATGAAGTTCATCGCCGCATACTTGTTAGCTGTGCTGGGAGGCAAAGCCAGCCCTTCCGCCGGTGACATCAAGAAAATCCTTTCCTCTGGTATGCCGCAATCTATATTACAGATATTACTACATATGCCGCAGTCTACATTACAGATATTTCTACATATGCCGCAATCTACATTACAGATATTTCTACATATGCCGCATCTGTTTCATGATCTGTGTATGTGAAGTTTTGTTTGTTGTTCAGTGTATTTACATATTTTCGACTGCAAGGTCTTGTTAATTGAGAGTATATTATTTCAAATTGAAGTTTTGAAAGAGACCATTATTATGTCTGTTTGACCATCTTAGGTGATTTAATTTGCTACCACTATATCGCATGTGAATTGGATCAAAGTAGTGGATTTTGTGATTAATAAATCAAGACAATTCTTCTGCGAGAGAGGGCACTCCACTCCAGTTCTTTGTCACTTAACGCTTTTGTGAAGCACTACAATCTGGATTTTGCTAGGAGGAGAAATCAGGATGGAAAATAAAGACGAAACTTTATAAAAACCTAGGAATTTATACATCTTACTCCGTATTAAACATATGAAGCATGATGAATTATTCGTTTTTGTTTGCATTATTTGAAAAAGCAAACACAAAAGTTCAACTTGCCTTGACTTTTTCCCCTTTTTCTTGAGCATTTTTTAAAATATGATAGCTTTAACAAATACTATTAGCATTTTTTATTTACGTACTGGATTGAATGATTAACCTATTTACTTATCTGTATCCAATTTATTCTGTCAAACGTGGTTTCTACTGACTACTAAATAAAGTCCAATGTCCTTGTTCTTCTTTCATTACTCATTGACTCAAGTAATTTTGAAAATATGCTGCACCTTGCTTGTCTTTCTTATGAAAAAACATTAGTTAAAGATGAAAACGCTACAACTCTTAAAAGATTATTACATTTGATTCCAGCATGTTTGTTGTATGGTCGAATGTTCTTCAACAACAACATCCAAGCCTTAATTCCAAAAGTATTAGGAGCTGGCTAGAATCCTATTCTTCATTTGTTTCATTTGTGCAATACTCTATTTGTTCTGTATTCTTGTCATTACTTAACATCAAAACTCGGATTTTGTAGTGGGTGCTGAGTCTGATGACAGTAAGCTTGAGTTGCTCTTGTCTCAAGTTGAGGGGAAAGATATCACAGAGTTGATTGCAGCTGGAAGGGAGAAATTAGCTTCCGTACCAAGTGGTGGTGGTGCTGGTGCTGTGGCAGCTGTTGCTGCTGCACCTTCCAGTGGCGGTGGGGCTGCCCCAGCTGCTGAAGAGAAGAAAAAGGAAGAGAAGGTTGAAGACGAATCCGAGGAGGATATTGGATTTGATCTTTTTGGAGGAGATGATTAGATTTGTTTTACTTTTATATGTTTGTTTGGAGAATACTATCAAATTTTAGCATCCCTTCCTGTTTTTTACTCTCTAATGAAGACTCCTAAATTTTTTTCTTCCTATTGTATTACTACAATAGGCTGAATCATGAACATGACATCTCCATCTTCATTCCCCTTCTATTAGAACACCAGATTGCCAATTTTACTCGCTTTCTATTATCATAGACAATAACACATCTATGTTGGTTTGACAATGTATTAAAATTAAATTAATTGTTTTTGAAATTTTACTCTTGATTCAAGTATTCAGTTGTCTCAGGAGCAAGCCTTCTTTTATTTATGAGTTTTACAGTTCATTTTTTGCAGTTGGATTTCTTACTTTATTAGGATAATGCAAGTGTACTACTACACTACGGAGTAGGGATGGACTGGGCCGGGCCGAACCGGCCCGGAACCGGACCGGCCCGCTACTGTGCGGGCCCGGACCGGACCGGGCCCGGTTGGCCGGTTCCGGGCTTTTAGCCCGTTTTGGCGGGTCGGGCGGGCCGGTTCCGGGCCCTGTTTTTGTTGAACCGGCCCGGGCGGTTCGGGCCGGGCCCGGTTCATATTTTTTTTTTTTTTTGGTTTTTTCAATTTTTTTTCTTTTCCTAGGGTAGGGCTGGGTGTTTTAGGGAGGTTTGGGGCGTGGGGGTGAGGGGGGGGGGGGTAGGGAGATAACAAGAAAGTCAAAAAAAAAAAAAAAAAAAAAAACATTGAACCGGGCCCGGCCCGGCCCGGCCCGGTTAGGCCCGGACCCGGTATCAACCCGGGCCGGTTCCGGGCCCATGTAACCCGAAAAAAAGCCCGCCCGGGCCCGGCCCGGAACCGGAACCGGCCCGGCCCGGGTCCATCCCTACTACGGAGTATGGAGGCTATATTTATTTTATACTCCCTCCGTCTCATTGAACTTTTTCAATTTTCCTTTTTTGGTTGTCCCAAAAAACTTTGTCACTTTCTTATTAAAGCAATTAATTTGTGCTTCTGCACATTTCTCTCTACTCTGCATAAATGACACGAGCTAGACACGATGGCGCTGAGGTGCTGATCGTGCTGCATATGAGACGTTCGTCGCCATCCTGGCGGGGATGGGCGAGCCGAACACGAGCCAGACAGTTAGACACGATGTCGTTGGGGCGCTGATCGTGCTGCATATGAGACGTTCGTCGCCATCCTGGAGGGGATGGGCGAGCCGAACACAAGCCAGACACGATGGCGGTGGGGCGCTGATCGTGCTGCATATGAGACGTTCGTCGCCATCCTGGAGGGGATGGGCGAGCCGAACACAAGCCAGACACGATGGCGCTGGGCGCTGATCGTGCTGCATATGAGACGTTCGTCGCCATCCTGGAGGGGATGGGCGAGCTGAACACGAGCCAGACACGATGGCGCTGGGGCGCTGATCGTGCTGCATATGAGACGTTCGTCGCCATCCTGGAGGGGATGGGCGAGCCGAACATGAGCTGGGTACGATGGCGCTGAGGGGCTGATCGTACTGCATAAGACGGTCGTCGCCATCCTGGAGGGGATGTGCGAGCTGATCGTGAGCTAAACACGATGGCGCTGAGGGGCCGATCGTGCTGTATAAAGACGTTCGTCGCCATCCTGAAAGGGATGGACGAGCCGAACATGAGCTGGGTACGATGGCGCTGAGGGGCCGAGCGTACTGCATAAGACGGTCGTCGCCATCCTGGAGGGGATGTGCGAGCTGATCGTGAGCTAGACACGATGGCGCTGAGGGGCCGATCGCACTGCATAAGACGGTCGTCGCCATCCTGGAGGGGATGTGCGAGCTGATCGTGAGCTAGACACGATGGCGCTGAGGGGCCGATCGCACTGCATAAGACGGTCGTCGCCATCCTGGAGGGAATGTGCGAGCCGAACCGTGAATCTGGGTGTTGTCCTTCCTGTCTGATATGGGGAGCCGATCTTCGTTCGTCTACCGTATCTGTGGTCCTACGTACGAACAGCTAAGTGGTGTACGCTCGACACGCAACAGACTCCGGTGAAGAACTGGTCCCTCCTGTCTGATCTGCGACGCTAGTCTTTGTTCATCTACCGTATATGTGGTCCTACAGGTTCGTGCTTCAGGCTTTTGCCACCACACTAGCTGGCCGCTCGCCGTTTGGTGCTTGTACTTTGTAATCCTTCGTTTTTTACAATGTATTTCATACTTGTAGTTTCCCTGGCTAGGAGTGCCGAAGAATAAAATCATTCTTTGTTCCATGCATCATTCTTTGCTCCATGCTCTTCTGGCATTTTTTTGGAGTCTTTTGGTCTTTGTTCTTCCCGAGTCTCGTGAGTTACTGATCTTCTGACTTCGGAGGAGACGTTCGTCATCCCAACTATGGGAAGAAACAGGTTTATCCACGTTGGGATTCCCTTTCTGTGTTCGTCCCCAGTCGTGAGTTACTAGTCTTCTGGCTTCGCAGAAGACGTTCGTCATCCGTCCATCAAGGGGGAGGAACTGGTATGCCCTGTCAGGGTTTCCGTTTCTTCGTTCGCCCCTGGCTCGTGATCCTACTAATCTTCTTACTTCGAAGAAGACGTTCGTCATCCATCGATTGCAAGGAGGAGCTGGTGTACCCTATCGCGGGTTCCCTTCTTCGTCGTCCCATGCTCGTGGTCCTACTAGCCCTCTACTCTGGCAGAGGGTTTTCGCCGATCCACGGGTAATGGGAGGAACTGGTTTATCCTGCCGAGGTTCCCTTAGTTCGTCTAGCCCCCCCCCCCCCCCCCCCCCCCCCCCCCCCCCCCCGCGTTTCTGCTTGGCCTCCATGTCAGGAGACGTTCGTCATTCACGAGTAGTGGGAAGATCTGGCATACCTCGTCAAGACTCCCTCTCTCATAAGAGTTTGTCTCCCCTTCTCCTTTTTTTTATGAGGGAGGAAAATACGTTCGTCGGTTCCAAGAATGACCACAAGTGATGTCACACATAATGGTGGTGGGATACCAAAACGAATATAATGACGAGGCGATGGGAATGCTGCTCGTCATGCGAAGGCGATGGTCACCCTCCCGGAGGGGAGGGGTTAACCCGATCGCTAACTCAAGAAGGTCGGCATCGAGAGCCGATATACAATGATCATAATGTCGCAGAGCAGTCGGTCCTGGTAAGGAGATGACAATAGTGTCCGATCAGGCCGATATATCCGAGCAACGGCTCTCATCCACGCAGCGCGGGGATGAAACCGGTCTTCAAAAGATAAATATGTCGTGCCGAGAGGCCGAACATAACATGATAGTGTCGGCAGTGAGAGGCCGACCTGAAAGAATCAAGCAATGGTCCTCGTCCGCGAGGGGCGGGGACAAGGCCGGTCTTCAAAAGATAAACACGCCGTGCCGAGAGGCCGGTCGTGATATAATGACATCGACAATGAGAGGCCGATCTGAGAGTGAGCACGCAACAGTCCTCATCCACGAGGAGCGGGGATGAGGCCGGTCTTCAAATATGGAAAGCACGCCGAGCCGGGAGGCCGGTCGTAGTATAATGGTGTCGGCAATGAGAGGCCGATCTGAGAAAACAAGCAACGGCCATCATCCGCGAGGAGCGGGGATGAAACCGGTCTTCAAATATGATAATCATGCCGTGCCGAGAGGCCGGTCGTGATATGATGATGTCGGCAATGAGAGGCCGACCTAAAATCCAGCAACTGTCGTCATTCCACGCAGCGTGGGGACGAGGTCAGTCTTCAGATATGATAATGGCACCATACTAGGGGGTCGGTAGCCGTGTAAGAGTGTCGGCCTGGGGCCCATCCATAGAGAGATAATCAGCGGTCCTCATCCGCGAGGAGCGGGGACGAGGCCGATCTTCAAGTATGGAGAACACGCCGAGCCGGGGGGCCGGTCGTGATATAATGATGTCGGCAATGAGAGGCCGACCTGGAAATCTAGCAACGGTCCTCATCCGCGCAGCGCGGGGACGAAGCCGGTCTTCAAAAGATAAACACGTCGTGCCGAGAGGCCGGTCGTGATGTAAGGATGGTCTAACGACCCTCGGCTGTAGTGGTCTCCTCTCGGCCATCGGCTCCTGGGTGGAGATGCTCGTACCATGGCTCTTGGCCGTGACGGTTTCCGCTCGGCCCCTCGGCCTCTGGGGTGGAGATGCTCGTCTTACGGTTATTGCCCGCGATGGTCTCCTCCTGGCCCTCGGCCTCTTGGGGAAGTATGAACGTCTCGCGGCTCTTAGCCGTGATGGTTTCCTTTCGGCCCTCGGCCTTTAGGGGAAGTATGAATGTCCCGCGGCCCTTTGCTTTAGCCGGTTGGAACGTCTTCGGAACTCATGCCGAGCATCATCTAATCTTCTGCTCGAGCGCGTCAAACGACCTTGACTGCATAACTAACATGGTAACGGGCCGCACGGCCCGACAATATATATACATAGCCATTTGCGTGGCTTTCTTTTTTCAACACCCACGACTACCGGCCTATGGGTTACCGTGACCCTCAGCCTGGCTCATCGTGTGGGGTTCTCGAACATGGTTGCCCGTGGCAGGACGACCACCTAGTGGTTTGCTGGACGTAGCAGCTCGCGGCGGGGCCACTTAGCAGCCTGCCGAACGTCTCATAAAAATAATCATTGGTCTGTGAGTTTGAGAACTCAGACTCATGCTCGTCGCACTACCCTCGAAAAACGAGGTTGAGCGCTTTGGTGCCCTCGGGCCCCACAGGCTGCGTTTGGCAACAAACACTTTGCGCCTAGCGGTGCAGGCAGTACTAGGGTACGATCGTCGATCGGGCATTTGGTGCCGTACAGACTAATGCGTAACCCCCAAATAAAATGCGTCGTCGGGGCATTGCCCCCTGGAGACGCTCGGATCGCTTAATCAAGCCGATCGAGAGTGGGCCAATGGCCCCACAAACAATTAAATATTTAATAAAAGGGTTTACCGAACTATCACTAGAGCTTCGCTCCGCATCGTTTAATTTGGGACATTTTTATCCCTAATAAATAATAGTGATGTAACGGGTAGTAATAATGATATTATTCTACCACAGGCCGTTCAGATATGCTCCCATCGCTAATTAAAGCTGATCGGGAGCGGGGCGAAGGGCCCACAACAATCAGTTATTTAATTTAAATGTCGGTGAAAATAATTATCGCTAGAGCTTTACTCATCTGAGCTTTGCTCGACATTATTTAATTTTGGGATATTTGCTCCCTATTAAACAATGGTGATAAAAATACTAGCATTACTAATAGTTTAAACTATTAACAATTACGGATTAGATGTATCAAATTAAATAGGGGTACTTAGAGCATCTCCAATGCTAAAATGTGCACGGTGCAC